TGACATGATTAGTTGAAGAGAAATATCCAAAACCATGTCTTATTATTTTCAATAACCCATACTTGTAGCAATAAAATCCTATTATTCCTCCTCTAAGTGATAAATCATTGATATTTCTTCTAAAATATATATTAGATATCTTCTCTTAGAAAAGTCAATTATTCATCCACTCTAATATTGATTGGATACCCGAACACCCAGAAATTCTCGTGAGTCTGTCGTATATAAAGCAGCTCCTGCCCCTATCCAAAACTATTAATTGAATTTCTGATTGGAAGGTACACTCTGATTCAAGATCTAAACTGGAGAAGCAAGAGCGAATGCTTCGAGTAAGACCTGTTGTCCCTTGCAAACTTCGATTGACATGTTCTAAACACTGGTTGTCACATCATTGATCATGTAGGACCTTTATGCCAATTATATTTTCAATCGATAAGACAAATGCAAACTTTAATTCGGCCACTGACACCATTGTAGCAAATGCATATAAGAAAGTACTAATAAAACAGAAAGGAAAAGAGGTACCTTTCTCTAAAATAGTATGTGCAGCATGAAAGGGTATGCTCGCAAACAGGTCAGTCCCAGGGAACATTAACAATGTCTTCTCCCTAGAATCATGATCACCACAAGTTGCACATAACTCTTTGACAAGTGGCCTTGAATCCACATCCCTCATTATCGACTCAAAAGGCAAAGGGATACCGGTTTTAGTCGTCCTAGCCCTCTTTCTTAAAGCTGTTAGAGATTCCCTGTTCCCATTCCTCACTCGGTCAATTTCAACTAACTGCAAACACAAATATAAGCCTATCACGCATCATGTTATCCCTAATGAAACACAACATCCAATATCAGACCCAGATTACCTCGTGCCGTGCTAACAGAAGATTTTCAGCTTCGATTTCAACCTCAATGAGTCCTTGTTGGAATTGTTTCATTGACTCGTTCATCGCAACCCAATTGAAGTTAAACGTTTGGCTGTTACATAATACCGACGAGGGATGATTGTGTCAATGCAAGTTGTAGAACAAGTGCATCCAATCCACACTTACATGTCACTATAAACTCATTTAGAACCTGTTGCAGATTCATAAGTGATAATAAAGGATAAATCTGAAGCTACGCAGTTCGTATGCTGTGTTATATCAAAACTGAAAAAAAAAAAAAAAAAA